CATTGATAATAGCAAAACCCATTCTTTCTTGAATTGGACACAACAGGCCTTTTCATCAAAAAAAAAAATTGTGCGCATGGGTCAGAGTCGGCCATCTTTTTCGTACTGTTTTTTGTAAACAAGCATGTCCACGTGAAAAAAATTATAATTGATAAATATTAATGTAAGTATATTTATTTAAAAAAAGGAAAACAAAAATAAAGTAATAAGTGTCTTAATTGAAAAATAAATTACTGCAATCAATTGTAATTATTATGTTATCTGTACGAAAGGGAAGACCGAAACGGTGTTGTTATGGAGAAGGCATATTATGTAGAAGTGACATACGGAATAATTCATTAAAAGGCAATAACATATTATTTTATAAATTTTCCAAGGCATTGCCTGCAATATCGTAAAAAGTATCAAATCCTGATCTACTGGATTTACCAAACAGTGGTAAAACCCATGGTTACGTACGGCTCTGTCGTCTGTTGGGACAAAGGACTTCAACGGATGGCCAGAGCAAAGCTGGCTGGAATACAGAGGCTTTCGTGCCTCGCCATAACTCGAGCAATCTCAACCACACCTACAAGAGCCATGAAGACTATGCTGGACCTAACCCCTTTCCACATTCTTCTTGAAAGGGAGGCCAGGATGGTCTTCTACAGGCTTCTGAAGGTGGGTAGTCAATGTTATGAAGAACTGCAATGGGACAAGACGGGGTTGATGAGTGAAATTAATAACTACCTCATCCTCGGCATGGTCTCGGACTTGATAGTTCCCTGACAGCACATAGAAAAGCCATACAGCGTCCTCATTCCAGAGAGAAACGCATGAAACAGAGGGGAAAAAACCCTCTCCCAGGCAGACTATGCGTTGTACACGGACGGCTCCAAAACTGAAAAAGGAGTAGGAGCGGGAGTTTTCGGCCAGAGACCTAGAGTTGACATATAAATAAACCTAGGCTCTCTGGCCACGATCTTCCAAGCAGAAATGATTGCTATAGAATTGGAAGCGAGAGAGTTGATTTATTTTCTTCCCGTAAACAAGACTATAAAGATTTTTTCAGATAGCCAGGCAGCCCTTAAGGAACTGAGCTCCAATTGAGTTGACTCAAAGCTGGTTTGGAATTGTTTAAAAAAGCTAGAATGCATCGGTGCCCGGAACAAAGTTACTTTGATCTGGGTTCCGGGGCACAGAGGTGTGGAGGGCAACGAAAAAGCTGACGCACTTGCTAAAAGAGGAACCGAATCTGTGTTCATAGGACCAGAACCATTCCTGGGCATTGCAAAAAGCACAGCCAAAGGAATAATTTAAAATGGACGGAGGGTGCAACACTCACGAACTGAAGAGATACCCCAGGGCTAACCCATTCCAAGGCATTTATAACCAACCCTTCTATGAACGCCTCTGCTCAGATCCGAAAATGGAGTAGGAAAGATCTAAGCATTTTCACTGGACTGATGACCTGACACTGCCGTCTGGGCAACCACATGAGAAGGATAGGTCTGCAACAAACATCGGACTGTCGATTCTGCAGCGTGGAGGACGAGTCTGCAGAGTACATTTTATGTACCTGCTCCGCTCTGGAGAGAACCAGGTTCCAGATCTTCGGATTTAGCCGACTGGAGCCTACCGACTTTAAAGAAGTCTCACCCAATTCAACCATGACCTTTATCAAAAGGTGTGGCTTGTACGGTGAACTATAAGTTAGTCATGAGCCACAATAGACCCATCTGGGTCGCAGTGAAAGGCGATGAGATCATCCCACTCATTTTCAACCTAACCTAACCTACTACATGGTCGACAGGTATATTATTTTTGAGTGCATTTTTTTTTTGTGCTCCCACTTTAGAAAAAGTGTTTTTCCAAATATTTTTTAGCTCGGAAAGTGCGTCGTTGCCGGTCTAGATCGGAAAATTGACATAACTGCTCGGAAAAGTGTCATAACTGCTCGGCAAAGTACCTACTTTCTCGAACTCATATCAAAATTTTCATTAAAGACAAAATACCAGCGTCTAGCCAGAGACAATTTTCTGGCCATTGTTTCCGCAGGACTGTAGCCACATTACTGATTAATGGAGGTGAAAATTTAACAAGTTTCAAACGCCACGGAGGATGGAAATCTTCGGCCGTGGCAGAAGGTTACATCGAAGATTCAATTTAGAACAATGTAAAAACAGCAAATAAAATTCTTAACGTAGAAAATAAACAAACCCAACCTGAAACTTCAAGGATCGAATCCAATATTATTGATAACACAAATATTATTGATTCCTAAATTGACCGGATCATCAACGTTTAATAATTGTACTTTGCATAACTGCACATTCGACATAAATATTCTTAATAAATGAGTTAAGTTTTGTTATAAATTTTGAGCAATAAATAGTCTGTTCCTGTATTATTGTCAAATTATTGGTGGCAGCACAAGAAATATTGTACGCGCCACACTCGGAAAGTGTTTTTACATAGTTTGCATGCTTTCAACTTGCATGCTCGCCCTGTAAAGTATCACTTTCCAGTTTGACACGTTAATAACTATTTTAATGTATTATCTGGTATTACACAATGTTTTTTAGTATTAAATACTATGGTAGACACAGTAATATGATTAAAAATGTTACGTTGATCCTCAAAATATTAAATAATTTGTTAATATTTATACTCGTGAATAACTTTCATCTTAATTAAAGTGTTCTTGCAAGTACTAATAGTTGGTTGGCATAATTAATTAGAATAGAGATATAATTATTATTTGTTTTCATACATTTTTTACACAGTAAACAAGTACCTATAACTTTTCAATCAGCACACATTTTTTCCCTTATGGCGGACGTCCATGACTCTTTAACCACCTTTTCAATTGCTTACAACTATGTACTTCCACAGAGTTATAATCAATTGACGCACCATTAACGATTTTTTTAATGATTGAGTTTATGTAGAGATAATATTGCTTTCCCAGCCATTGTTGATCAAAACAGTACGCAACTTTTGAATTAGCGCTATTTCAACACGGCGGCTGCTTTTGCACTTAGCACATGATGAAAAAGCCTATACGGAGCTTAAATCTTTCTTTAGAAATTTTTATTTACAGGTTAAAAATTCATAAAATGCTGCTGGTTTCCGAAAGTTGAAATTTAAAAAATTATTAATGGCTATATTTTTTTTTTTAATTCGCAATATAATTCTACTAAATTCGGTAAACACATTCATATATCATATGATACACGTACCAGAAAAACAATTAGTTAAATAAACTTTGCCAGTGACGTAAGGCATGGATAAGTAACACCTTCGTCCCCACTAAATTTGTCGACACTGTCCAAACACTTATTTGGACTATACTTTTACAATTTTTAATGTTTTTTAAATAATTCGTGTACTGTTGTTGGGAACTCATAAAAAGATTGGTTTTCGAGATATTGACACTAAAAGTAGATATTCTTCATTTTAATTTAGTTTTAATTTTGTATTTTTTTACTAAATTATACTAAGTAAACGTTTTTTGTGTTTTAAGATGCACTTATCTGCAAAAAAATCATTTAAATATATTTTGATAGTGGAGTACGGAATAGGAAAGTCTTTTGAGGTTTTGTTTATTTTTGGGATCAGGAATGGAGGTGTGTTTAAATATATGTCGTGTTTTAGTTTTTGTCCCCTTTGTGTCCCGTAAAAAAGGTAGAAAAAACAGGGTTGTCCTTGTATGTGCGTTGGTTCAAGTCCTAGTCTATGATTTCTGCTACAGCTCACTGGCTGAGTGAAAGATGTACCTTCCGCCAAAACAAAAATCGCGAAATAAGTGTTCGAGCTTGTTAAATCGATGGAATGGATTTGAGTCCAATATCAAAAAGTTCATATTCAACACCCTGTAATATCCAAACGGTTGGTGATATGGAATTGAGGCAATGGTAATTTTTGATTAGTATGTCGATATCTACAGCATATCTGAATTTTAAAAGAATCTCACGATATTTCCCACAAGATGTATGTGTTTTCCTTTGGTATTGTTCATAACTTCATAAAAGTACCGAAATAATAGACAGTAATTTAATGCCAAGAATGTGTGAAGAATCCTGACAGAGGTGCCATGAATGCAATTGCAATATAAGCCACCAAAAAAATCCTCTTGTCCAGTAACTTCCAAAAATGTCTCCAAACTTTGGCGCAATGACATATAACAGCATTCTTCACATATTAAATTACTGTCTATTATTTCGGTTAACCGTAAAATTCAGATTGGCAACTTTGGCGCTGAAAGATTTATGTATTTTTTGAAGGTATGCAAGATACAGAGAAATTTTAAAATTTGTGAGCCATTCAAATAAACATTGCAGTAAAATTTAAATTTGGTAATATCATATTATCGTAGAAAAAATTCGGGCAGAAAGCTATTTCTATCTCAGGCGGCAAAGTAGTACTTTCTGCTCTTAATACACCATAGCTATTTGTGTATTAAGAGCGAAAAGTGATACTTTGCCGCTTGAGACAAAAAGTTGCCACGTGACGCGTAACGGAGCGTGGCAATTTGTCGAAAGTGGCAACAAACTTTTCACTCAAAATGCATAAAAGATTTTTTCTACCATCACATTGTTTTAAGAAATAGATATAAAAACTGAAAATTTGTCATAAGTAGTGTATAATGTGTTGCCTATGTCTACGTTTTTCATGAAAAAAGGAGTTGATATTCAAAGTCAATGTTAACTTGGATAATAAAACAAAAACCATCATACTACGTACAAATAACTTGAAAATCATTTATTAAAAAGAAATATTATAGTATGTCTAATTTAAATTAGGTGAGCAACAAATCTGTCAAGTTTTCCGCTCAGCGAGCGACCAAGCTGTCGCTTAATGTCAGTTTGCGGAAAACGTCAACTTTACGGTTGTATTTCGAAGCGCAAAAGCCTACTTTGGATAGTGATCGTAAAAAAAAGCTATTATAGGATTCCTGGATTGATTGGTTTTCTAACTACATGATAATAAATTCAACTCAACATATAAATAAAAATTACCTTGAAAAAGCAGAGTCCGAGCTCTTCTCCATACTCTTCCTCCAGGAATCTCTTCTCAAATTCGTATTAGCCCTCCCCTTCCCCACGGTCAAGTTAGTAGGCGTCCTTTCGGTGGGCCTGTAAAAATTTACGCAAATTCCGTATCTGGTCTTTCCACAATCCTTGTCGGTGAGGGTAAATACGAATGAAGAAGCTTCTCTGAGGGCTGTCCTTCTGGGTCCCACCGAAGAACAGCCCTCTGGCTGACAGAAATACACCATGTCTAAGGGCATGGGGAAATCCTTGTGGTCTTGGAGTGGGTAGCGCCTTAGAAGTTCTGGAATCTGAAACGACAAAATGCAAAATATATATACTTAAATTTAAGGTATTTATTGTGGATGATCAAAAAGTTAAAATTTTAAATTTTCATTACTTATAAAAACGGAAGAAAGTCAATTTTTCTTGATTATTTTACTTACAATGTGATAATTTGCTATTCTTTTTCTTGATTAATAATCGATAATCATACATCAAGTACTTGACTAATAGTTGATAATCATACTTGGTACATTTCGATTATATTTATTTATTTTCTTATCAAAACATGGATAAAATATACTGTAATGAGATCCATTTCCGACCAATCCAGTCATGATCTAATCCTTTAATTCCCTCTGTGCCTTGTTTGGGCTTTTAAGGACCCACTTGTCCGATTGTCAAAATCATTTAAAGAAATCAGTCAACCTGTGCTACACCTATGGCTATTCGTAGTAAATCATTAACCAAAACGATGACTGATAAATTTGGTAAATGCATATTCGAGAAATTGCCGGAGGCACTAGTCTAATAAATGGTGGGAGCGAAAATAATCTAAAGCCTACACCATTTTATATAAATAGGCTCTGTTGCAAAGTAAATCAGTCAGTTGAAGACATACATTTCAATAGTTATATAATAGCTATTTATGTAACCAGTTACGAAATGCCTTATTTTATGTAACGAGTAGATAATTGCTGGACGAGCGAAGTGAGGTCCCGCAAAATAAACGAGTAACTCAAAACAGCACGTCGTAACATGTTACATACAATATTTTTTCTAATTTTTATTTGATTATTTATAAAATTGTGTTTGGTTAAAACATGATTCACCATCATTCTTTTGTAGCTGGTAGGTACTTCCAATCAAATATTTCAGAAACTTGTTGTATTTGATTGCCCTACGACGTTTTTTTTTTTTTTTTCATACGTATGGATCCAACTTTATCGCACATAATATATATTCTTCCAACTTGGAGCGATTGTAGACAGTTTGAAAAAACAAGTGAAATTTGTAAGTTGCCAAACGGTTTTGGTTTTTCTCTTGTGCCTTGAATAGCATCATCTATTTTGATAACGGAATAAGGGCGGGAATCCCCTTTATAATTTAACTAGATTTTTTTTTTGTTTCCAGCATAGCATTTTTTCTTGTCACGACTTCAATGTCATGAATTACTACTGTAAAAGATATCAGTGACAAACGCACTGTGACATAAAATATTATGTCCATCCCTATTCCATGCATTGTTAGTTACATAACTACCTGTAAAATAATATTTCCTTTCAACCACTTGTGTTGTCGGGCTAGCTAAATTATTACATATTTGCCGCGTTTGAGAATCCACATCGGATGCATTTTTTACATCTCGAGCGTTTTTTTATCCACATCGGACACATCTGTCCCATTACATTTACGTATACTGAATCACGTGATCAAAGATTTTTTACATCTCAGATGCATCCGATGTGGATTCTCAAACGCAGCAATTATAAGAAATTGTTTTCGTGTTTATTTACAATAAAGTCATGTCACCTAGTTATTGTAGGTAAATGTCAAATCTTCTAACATGACTATTCCTAACTTCATACTAATCTGATAGGTACTTTTTAAAATATCATTAGGACAAACAATTTTCATTTTCTGTTTCAAGAAAGTGTGTTATTTTGCAAGGATTAGATATTTTTAGATTTTTCTGTATAGAGTCATGCCAGTGTCGTATAAAACTGTTACCAGAATTACAAATCGTAAGTTTCCTGACTAAATCTATTTTTATATTTTGCCAACCTTTCATTCTTCAATATAACCTTTCAAAAGCAATATAAATGTTGATGTAAAAACCAAAAAAAGGAATTTTTATTTTTATTTCGTAACTGTTGATATAATCAACTTTTCGTAATCAGTTGCATAATGTTCTCTTTATGCAACTGGTTGCATAAAGTAGATCGTTTAGAGACTTTCTGCTATTACAAAAGATGTCACTTTATACATGTCAAAATTAGAAAAATTAAATTATAGATGTGAAATATAAATCAGCTAAGTATTTATAAATAAATCAGTTAATGTTTAGTGTATGTAAATAAATTGTAAATAATAAACTGTTTTAAATAAATAAACTGTTTTTAAAATAAACAAACGTTGCAATACAGACATTAAAATATAAAGCATTTACATAAAAGGTTTCAAAATTTGATGGAGCGGATCTTCTATTTTCATCAAAATCGGCCGATTATCATATATAATACAACGACGCAGCAAACCATTCTGTTACATGTTCCCTCCTGATACATAACTAAGAAGGATAAAATATACTAAGACTGTCCTGTATGCACTTTTATATGATATTTATGGAACCGAACACCTAAGTTCAAACTTAGCACCATAGTTATATACCATGTATATAATTAAAATATATGTTACAAAATTACATATCCGTTATATAAATTTAATCACATAAAGATTATAACTATGTATAGTCTACATTAAAGTAACAATTTGTACTAAATTATTTCGTTCAAAATGTTACATAGCGTATACATAAATGCTGTTGACCAAACGGTCCTTGAAATACACATGTTTTTTAGGTAGGTAAGTAAGTATGTCTGGTGCATTATTTTTAGTAGTGTTTTAATGTTCAATGGCGGCTATAGGCATTTTATGGAGGTACCTGTGGCATTTTTGGATTTATTGTGGAAAATAGCAGGTATGTTGTGTTTTTATAATGATATTGAGTTATTGTATGTGTGTACTGTATTTCGATGATACATTTATAAGGTGTAAATATTAATTTTTGTTCTCTTTTCAGGTCATGCTTGATGGGGCCCTGAATTACGAGGCCGTGGATCGTCGTTAATAGCAGATATTTTGTGATTTTTATGATGAATTTGGGATATTATATATTTGTGTGAAATATTTCTATAATATATTTTTGGTTTCGGTTATGAATTTGTCCAATAAAATTATTTATATACCTAACAAATACGTTTAAATTACTTTTTTTTATTCATCCAAATATTTTCGACGTTTTTTATAAGTATTTGTCATACCTAAGTTAGAACCATATGGAAAACTTTTTTATTATTGGTTATGTGAAAAAATTTATTTGAAATAAAAAGTCCTGCATGGTCCAAAACTTAAAATGCAACCATCAGATATCAGTTTTTTTGGGCTGCATACGAGGTTCGCTAAAAAATATGAATTTTACTCAAGAGTAAAGTACCTTTATGTTTTACAGTACAGAAGAATGTTATTAAAGTAAAGTTATTTTAAAATAAAAGTTATATTTAAATATCCAATTACAGCCATTTAGTATTAAAATTCAGATTCGGTGATTAATTAATTTATAACTACAAATAATTTATAATGTAAAACGTAAATAATTAACTAACCTGAATTTTTATGCTAAATGACTGTAATTGCATATTTAAATATAACTTTTAATTCAAAATAACCTTACTTTATAATATTCTTCTGTATTGTAAAAATAAAGGTACTTTACTCTTGAGTAAAATTCATATTCTTAGACAAACTTCGTATATACAGCTTAAAAAAATTTATATCTAATGGTTGCATTTTAAGTTTTTGACCGTGCAGAACTTTTTATCAAAAATACATTTTTTCACAAAACCAATAATATAAAAGTTTTCCATATGGTTCCAACTTAAGTAGACATACTGTATAACTAATACGTACATTTTTTGACGATACATTTACATACCTTCATTTATATAACATTTATAATACTAATGTTATATGAAAAAAGTAATGTATATGTGCTGTAATAATGAAGCATATTAAATGTTACAATGGTAATATAAATGTTACATGTCTTCCGATATATAACACTGTTCCTTACATGTACTTAACCCATTACATCACATATAAAGAACCTGCTATATAACAAAATTAGGTCATTTTTCACAGTAATCACGTGAGTTATTATGTAACATGTAAGTTACTTTGTTATGTAACACGGAACTAGTACATGTAAATGATACATATATGTTACATGTTTGTGTTTGCTGGGGAGTAGTATCGAGACTATCGATAATCGCATAAGCTAATTCACGAAATTTCAGTAGACATGCCAAGCCCCTTTAAACAAATAAAACAATAAATAATAACAGCTAACTATAACGTTGCAAACACAGTAGTAGTAAAACAAGTAAATTCTTAATCCACATCTGTTACCAATTCGAACTGCCCGCTTCCTATGGAAACTTTTGTCATGATCATTATTTTCTCACACGTTAAATAACGTCGTTGATTCAGAAAATTAAAAAATTAAAAACTTCTGATGAATTGATCTTCGCAAAACATAAAATCATTTTTAGACGATCTATCTATCTATCTGAATTAGAGCATGGTTCAAAGTCCACTTGTACTGAAGCTCTAGTCTTATTGTACCCCTCACAGTTTCTATTCCATCAGATTGATTTTCTTGATGAATTCAAGAATATATCTAATGGGCGCTTTCGCGATTTCTTCAGGTTCCGGATATTGTACCCCGAAGTACCATTCCCGTTCCCATTTAAGGTTCCGACAGTGGCATAGTATGTGAATAGGAATTTCGTCCTCCTCTTCACATATTTTACATAGGGAGTCATCAGATATCCCTAAGAGATTTAAATGTCTTCTAAGGCCGCAGTGTCCCGTAAGGAGTCCTATTAGGGCCTTGAGTTCGCTTCTGCTAAGGTTTAGCAGTTGATGTTGTCTGTTCGTGGATGGCCCCTCTATGAATCTTTTGGACTGTCTAAGTCCAGGAAGTTCCATCCAGAGCCTATGGTGTTCTCTTTTTATTTGTTCCTTTAACATCCATTTAACATGTTGGTATGAAATACCACACGTGGGTTCTGGTCCAATAAGAGTTTTTTCAGCTCACTTCCTTGCTAGGAGGTCTGCTTTCCAAACACTCCCTCATGTCCTGGCACCCATTCAAGGGTGACCTTGCTATGTTCTGCCAGGGCCTGGAGGGACTGTTGGCAATCAAATATTGATTTAGTTTGTACTTCTACCCTTTTCAGTGCTTTAA